ATTTGATCAAAATGGGAGACACACATGCTGTGCCTCTGCTCCCCCTTTAGTTTTCCTTTCCAGACCAGGCTAATAGTTACAGTAATCGCAGCAGTACTTACTTCCTTTTCAGACTTAGCTGATGGATGTGTTGACTTGCCTTGATTTATTTGGTGCAGCAACCAACTGGACTAGCTGCATTGCTCTGCATGCCAATCCCTTACATTGTGTATGCATCACTCTTGTATATTGCCTTGTATATCTGACAAATTGACTCTAATCGTTTAGCGATTCATATTTCATTTGGAGTAGGGGATTGTGAGAGAGATCTAAATTCTATCTCTTTAAATGGAGACGATGGACTTACCACCACCAGTAAAGAAAATTAACGTGCATCAATATTGTGAGAACAGAGAGTACAAGATCTTGATAGGAAGCAGATGATGTTTTTTCTTTTTTTTATATATATATATATGCATGTATATATTTACATGTATATATAAAGGATATAAGAATGGGAGGCTAAAGTCTGTGTTTTCCAAAGCCACTATTATAGTGTCTAATGACTTTGGAAAGAACATGATATGTCAGACATGGGAAAGACACTGATGCTGAGGTATAGCCCACTGGAGAAGGGGTTGTGGGGATCAAATGAAGAAAAGGCGGCTCTGTACTGAAAGAGAGTGATCCTCACTGAGAGATAACTGAGATCTGGAGGTGAAAGGCAGGGCTTAGCAAACCAGAGGGTCAGGAGTAGAGATGAATTGCTTTCTACGCTGTACCTGACCCAGATTGGGACTGTCTAGATTAGTTTTTGCAAAGCTGAACCAGATCTGTCATGCAAGCTGTTATTTTAACGATGTTTCTACTTTCTCTATTCTTAGTAAATGCCATTTTCCACAGCCCATGAGACTTCATTGTGTGGTTTGGGTATCAGTTGCTTCAGAAGCTTGTTCCCTGGCATCGGCAGGTAAAGGGACTGAGGCTTCAGGAAGTCCAGGGCTTTGGCCGCCGAAGGCGGGCAGCTGGGCATGGCCCTCTGCTTGTGTACGGGTGTGCAGAGTCCATCCGAACACCACCAGGGGAATTGTCTTTCTAGGCTGCCTCCTCTTGGTTGCCCTTCAGAAGTGTTGTTCTTCAGTGCTGGTGAAGGAAATACATGTTATCACTAGATTTTGGTATAGGTTATTTAAAGACAGGAGACCTAGAATAGTGAAAGGTTGTTTCAGGGCAAGAAATACCAAGTAATAAATAGAAAAGCCTTTTAGCTTGCAGGTGGATTTGGAGAGCGGAGAATGGACTACCATTTTCTTCAGCCTAAAACCTAGGGGAAAGACCTTGCATTTTTTCTAAGCATTTTTTCTTGGGTGGCTCCTGGCTGTCTTGTACGAGAGTGTGAATTCCCTTTTGCTAAAGGATCTCTCTGATTTATCTTCAAAGGGTATTTCTCTTGGTTCATTATTTTGACCTAAATTGTGTCTTTCATAGATAACTGGAGTTTTTTAAATTTTATTTCTTCTCTAATACTGTTTGCTTGCAACTACATTTTTTCCTCTACAGCTGTTTTTTTGTCAAATGTTCTCTCTCCTGAGAGGCTGTTGGCTATTTATCAATATTTGATCTGTCTGTAAAGTGTACTTCTGTGGGGTGGCTGTTTATTATGAAATGGTGCCTCTCTAAAGTGTATCTTATCAGTTCTTGATCTCTTTCTCTGTTTGTTTGCCTCTGCCTCTTTCTTAGCTAGCCTAGTGGCTTTAAGAAGTACTCAATGTCTGTATTTTAACAAAAAAAGAAAAAAAGTGCAGTCCTCATAATGCCAAGTACCAAACAGCAAAAGGAGATACATCAGAACCCAGTGCAACTTCCAGCAGATGCTTAGCAAAGAGCTTGACACTGTGCCAGGTGTTTATAGGTATAAGAGAAAAATCCTCTGCATTTTCTTCAAATGTAAATATTGCAAAATTGGTTTTCATGGAGTTTTCAGTATAATGAAAATAGTAAAATAAATAGCAGAAAATGCCATGTATAGTGACTACATCTTAGGCTTTTTTTTTTTTTTGGTCATGTCAGTCAAGCTAAACATTATTGAATCCAATGCATTCTTAATCCAACTCCTTTGATTTCAGTGACACTGAACTAGTGATGAACCTGAACCATGAACATTGCAGCATTTCCTTAATTCTACTCTTTCTTCAACCTATGGGAGCTAAATCGCTGGTGCTATTAGAGATGAAATAATTGTCATTAGGAGATGATAAAAGTGGCAAAAATAAGTTGAAAAAAGTATCTGTGAGGGTTTCTCCTTGTTTTTGAATGGGGATAGACTTTAGTTGGAATGGAAATTATCTTTAATGCTGGCTGTTCGTCCCACTAATGACAAGAGTTTCTCCCAAGAGTAAACTGAGGCCTCTGAGCTGGTTTATGGATACCTCAGTAGAAATAGTTGTATTAGTCTGTCCTCTGCCTATAGGCAGTCACTGAGAGCTTTTTCCAAGGTAGTCTTCTTGCCATAGATGATTTTGCAATGTATACATAGAGGAAAACCTATGCAGTTTTAAAAATAATTTCTTAAATGCATTTTACATATTGTACTTCCCATAGCACTAAGTATTTTGGCCAGCCTCTTAAGATACCCATTATTCATTCTTCATTAGCTGATATTCCAGTCTACCCAGGAAGTGCAGCATTCAGAGATCTTAAAGTTCACTATGTGCTAGTATTTTCCAACCTTATTTTTCTCAATATCCAACTATAGATCAGTGGTGTTTTGAAAGTCAAGTGTGCAGCAATAAGTCATGATTATTTTATAAATAGAGATCAAGAAAGTGCTCAATAACACGAGATTTTTGAAATGCAAAAATTTCAGGTTTTTTTGTTTGCTTTTAGACTTGTAAGCCTTTTGAATTCACTCAGAGCATGTTTTCATTTTTTTCACTGAAACGGTTAACGCTAAAAATATACTTTTTTCTTGTTGTATTATAGTAACTTCATTAGGGATCTAAAGCTTTAAGAAACTTCCCACATATCAGGTGACTCATGAAAAAAATCCTAAGATTTCTTACAAATGAGTCCTGATCTTGTGCTGTATTGAGACAGATTTTTTGCTGATTCAGTAATATAAAAAGGTCCTAAACCTTCCCTACTTGGAACTGCACTCCTCAAAGTGCTGTCCTACTTTATTGTTAACACTAGCATGGTGTTACTGGGGTTTTGTGTGTCTCAGAGAGGAGAAAGATTAGTCTGCACCATCCGTGCCTGAGAAGGGAGGGAGCACAGATTGCTTTGCATGCTCCAATTCTGCCTGCTTGCTCTGAGGACTCCTGCGTTCTAGTGTGTTTTCTAAGAAAAATTGTTGACATTTACTCCATTTCAGTATGTAATTATTAATTAGCATACTTTGATAATATTGTGGGGTTTTAGATGTAAATATGAAAGTTGAGGCCCTGTTGAAAATACCCTGATAGATCATTGCATTTGCATGAAAAAAATATTCTAACTTCTTATGCCAGTCAGGCTGTTTTTTCGTGCTGTCCAAATGTTCACACAGCAACAAGATAATCTTTGATAATTGGAAGAGACTTTTTGCTACTTTCATAGAATTTCAGAATGGTTTGGGTTGGAAGGGACCTTAAAGATCATCTAGTTCCAACCCCTCCGCTGGACCAGGTTGGCCTTGAACATTTTCAGGGAGGGGGCATTTGCAACCTCTCTGGACAACCTGGTCTAGTGCCTCACCACCCTCATCTTTTAGTTGAAAGGTATTTGTTGGTATTATTGGTTGTGAAGTGTGTCCCTGTCTGTATCCTATGACTTCTATATAAATGTATGTTATTAATAAATATAAATAAATGTCAGCCAATAAGGACTTTGGCAAAAATGATGGCATACAAATACTTGCAGATAAGACAGATCTACAGCATTGCCATTTGTCCTCCTCTCCTCATTAGTTAAGCTGTTTGTCATTGCCTCGTTTGTATTATCTGCAGACTAGCTGGATTGAAAAATGCCTCAAAACAAAGGGAACAAAACCATTTCACAGCCGTAAGAGTTACGTGCGCATGCAGGTAAAGCAATACAAGAAAAGCTTACAGGAGTCTTCCCCAGTAGCTTCCCTGCTTTTGCACCCTGTACGTCTTGTTCTCTCTAACCCTTTCCTCTGCATTTGTTTTGGTTTGAGTTATATGAGTACATAGGTTATCCAACAACCTTGTTTTCAAGCGCCAGTACTATTAAAAGATCACCGTTATGTAAGCTACAGACTACAAACACGAAGCTACAGTCATATTTGTGATGTTCTCTTAGAAACATCTGAGGGTTTATAAAAGTGCTTGCATTGAGGATGTTTTTGAGAATGTGTATGTAATATGAAATATATATTGGTCATTAAAATTTCCCTTGTAGTTCTGATATACCTTAAAATATTTATTTTAGGTTTGCCAGAACCAAACAGAGACAGTATATTCCACGGACTGGGAATGGATCAAGGATTCTACACATCTAAAGACTTCCTACCTTTGGTAGCAATGGCGAGTAAGCCAGGTGTGTGATATTATGTGTTTGTTGTAATCATGTTCGGTAAGTCATTAGCAGTTATTGATATATCAAAATGGACAGCTGGTTACACAGCAACACATCCAATTATGAAGCACCTCCCAATGAACAGGTCTGGAGCAGGGTTTTTTCTCTTGGTGAGTTGCAACCTCAGGAGTGTGGTCAGGAAAGTCAGTCCTACAGACTGTAAAGCAAATAGTCATATATAAAAATCTAAGCACATGTCAATTCATTACCCCTAACAAGTGGTATTTGTTATTTTTAATTATATTCAAAAGATGTCATAAGCCTCTCATTTGCATAAATTTTCTTCATACGAAGAGTATATGCAAGACGGTCTTGAAAAAAAAAATCTAATATTAAAGAAAGTGTTGCCAACCCGTATAAGCAGCTGCTTTGTATACTGTTGATAAATGATTTTACCTGATCTTGAGTTATGTGCTGCATGTTTTACAGACGCATTTAAGAGAGTGCTAGTTCCTTTGCCGAAGAACTTACAGACTCAGGACAACAGTAGTATGCCAGGAGTTAATAAGACAACACTCAGTTCATAGGCACCAAATCCAGTCTTGTTTTACGCTTATACATCTTTGTTTTGAGTGCAGAGATGGCTGTGTGTGCTCCCCAAGGAGTATAGCTGCTTTCAGTGGCCCTGAATGTTGAAGTCATAAACCCCAGATGGATGTATGAGATGGGGCTCGTGATTTCTATGCTACGTTCCCTCATCGTCTAGATCCCCCAATGTGTTGATAAAAAAGAAATTCTATGTACGTTTTTCTGGGCATATACTTAGTGCTGTATGTGGTCCTGTACATATCACCATGCATTTAATCACACATATACCTTTTTTTTATGTACAAACTGATTTTCTTCTGAGCATTCAGAAATTTCTTTTAGCATCAAATAGGGTTACCTGCTTATTTAGTAAACTTTCCATAAACAATGTGTTAAAGAATATATCTTCTGCAGCAAATTGTTCTGCATATAAAAGTAAAGTTTATTGCCCCATTTTATGCAAAATATTTAGGAAAGGAAATTCTGTGTCCCATCTGTCCCATCTCTCTGCTGTTTTGATCTAATGCTTATTTCTGTTTGTTTTCTTAAGCTCAAAGTGAGCTCAAATGGGTTGGGAGAAAAAGGTGTTGGTTTTTTTGGTTTGTTTTGGTTTTTGTGTTTGTTTTTTGGGGTTTTTTTGGTTTTTTTAAGAAAGATGTTTAAAAATGAAACACATTAAGAATCTGCGCTCAAAACATTTTCTGATCAACAAAGGAAAAATCAATCCTGCAATACAGTCCCCTCTTGTAATAATTTGGCTAAAAATACGTAATAGAATTCTGTATGGACACGTAGCACTTGTGTACTGTAAGTCGCCTGTCTTCATGAGGACCTATATACTGTGATCTGCATCTTTTAAAATGCTGCAAAGTAGCACTCTCAATTTGCCAGGAAATGTAATGATATTTTTTTATATTAAATCTACAATTTAAAAAAAAAACGGATGAACTTTGAAGAACTAACCTTTTCTGACTGACAGTAATAAATAGCTCTTTGGTGCTGTCTGTTAATTAACATGGTCCCTTTTACTTAATTTTCCTAGTGTCTGTCTGTAGCTGTAGCCACCTCTTGCTCTCTGAAGCATGGAATTTTCAAATAAAATATACACGTCCTATGTCCTGCTCTATCCTCTTTTTTTTTTTTTTGCTATGACAGTTCTCTAAATAATAGACATAATAGACTTATTCACAGTAAAATACATATTCTACCTGCTCTATTAAATTCTGAATACCACTTTCCTCCAAAAGGGATTTCCCTTGCAAGTACATGGACGTGAATTTACCTTGGGAGCCGCCTTGTTACCAAGAGCAAAGTGGGCTGCTGTGACTGATCCGTTCTAGACTAGTCTAGGAATCACTGAAATCATAAAATTCTTTCTGCCTGATGTTCAGCTGCCGTAGAGAATAACCTCTGAGAGCCATCTCATAGCCAGAACAGTGTCAGTGCCTTGTAGGAAACTGAGTTTGAGAAACTGTTATACAAAGCTATCAACAGCTAGTTGTCTTTTGAAAAATACCAAGTATAATTCTTTATAATCTGTTAAAAGGTGTTGGTTTTTTTTTAACTGGGAGGATAATGAATCTGATAAGAGAGAAACTTACTTTTTGAATAAAAAGATCTCACAATGCTAATTTCAACGTGACAGGAGCCACAATCCTACAAACGTGCTGTCATTTGAATTCTTTCCAGATAGAAAGGTGCAGCTGCTTACAGTACTGACTATGAAATTATGTATATGAGCATATCTTAAAAACGGGAATAAAACTGTCTTTCAGTGAAGCAGAATAATTTGATAGTGACACTCCATGGTTGGAAACTGTAAGATGCAATTTTACACTGCTTTGAGTACAAGTACCTTTTGAGCTGTCATGCAGAAATGGTTTCTCTTCTTGAAAATGGGGTTTTCCTTTCATCTTTCAGGGATGTGTGCCTGTCACTCTCCATTGCCATCAATACATGGAACTGCGATTGTACTTGGGGCAGGAGACACTGCCTTTGACTGTGCAACATCTGCTTTACGCTGCGGAGCTCGTCGCGTGTTTGTGGTCTTCAGGAAGGGATTCACTAATATCAGGGCCGTCCCAGAAGAGGTAAAATTGAATAACAGCATTTATGAAAAGGAATATTAGTTGTTATTTCTACAGGGCCTGAAAGGGTGCTATAGGTACTTAAAAGACATCTACTAAAGGTTTTGTTTATAAAAATGTTCATAAAATGTATAATAAAGTTCTGATGCTCACTTTATATAGTCTCTGTATAAATAATTTTCCTCTCTTGTACCGGTTTCCTGTGAAGTCAGAGGGATGCATTTGCATGCAAGGGGTACAATTTCTTGTACATTACAAAATACAGTAAAATTTTTAATCTTGGAAGCACCCCGGAGATCAAACAATGATTTGAGTGTTGTAGGTGACCCTTCAGGTCATGGTTAGATCCCAGAATGATACCTTCTGGCTGGCTAATGAATCTCAGTGATCCTGATGTTGCCTTGGGAGCCTATAAAATCTTGTAGGAGAATTACTTACAGTGATTTTGGTTTTGAATCACTGCCAATGGCAATTGAGCAATGTCAGTTATCGCAGATTTCAGCGCTCAATTTAATTTTTAGTTTGGCTTTGCATTTTGGCATCTATCGGGACATCTGCACATTTTGAAACTGACTTTGCTTCCTCAGTGTACCTGTACTACAGGAAGGTTTTTCAGGTTAGATTTTCTTATTTTGGTGGTGGTTTTCCATTATAGTTTATTTGGTACGTACTTTACATTTTTGCATACTTGAGGATATCAGCACAACTAATGTATCGTTATCATGAGATTTATGGTAGCTTGGTCATGTTTCAAGAAGGTATCTTGGAGATCTTACAGAAGGGAAGTGGAGGTGCAAAAAAAGTAATAGGGAGTCTCTTGATGCATAATTTACTTCTGTTTCTGTTGCACTTAATTTAGGCATTCTAGACACAATGAGATTACTGAAGCCATTGCACAGGCAGACTCATGTGCTGTTCAGATTCCTACTAATCAAGAATCGGCAGCCTGGGTAAATTCCTAAAAGCTTTCAATGTTTGCACTCATCCAACCTTGCAGTGGCCCTGAAAAAAAGTAAAATAAAAGTAGCTTCAGCTAGTAATGGCCATGCTAGAATGATGTGAGGTTGGATATTACATGTTCAAAAATTTTTGTCGTGTAAGCATAGACAATCAAATCCTGAAGACTTTACTAAGACGAAATGCTGTTTGACTTCAGCAGTTGTACCACAGCAGAGATTCAGAAGATTGTAAGTCTGGATTGTCACTCAGAAAACTGTTGTTTGCACATGGTAGTCAGTGTTTAATAACATCTTAAAATCATAGTAAATACAAATCAAGTCATGTACGTAATACTAGGCCTCCTCTTAAAAGACACAGATAGTTCCATAAGGTAACTTTTTTGCCCTCAGAGGAGTTATACATATTCAAAGTAACGGGGAACAATAAGAAAATATATTGGAGAAATATTTGCATTGCAGATTTACTTAGTGCCGCTGTCTAGAATTGCTTGATTTAACAGCACGGGAGGCTCTGAAGTTGGTATTAAGATGACTGTATACCACACACAGGTGACTTCTACTACAGAAGAACACGAGGTAGCATCTTGACTCAAAAATGTTTTATGTTGTTTTCATAAAAACACAACAATGTTCAAGTTATATATTTTCTTGCTTCTACTCTACAGATGGAACTTGCAAAGGAAGAGAAGTGTGAATTTCTGCCTTTCCTCTCCCCTCGCAAAGTTGTACTTAGAAGTGGACAAATTGTTGCTATGGAGTTTGTTCGAACTGAACAAGACAATGATGGAAACTGGAAAGAAGATGAGGATCAGGTTGTCCGTCTGAAAGCTGATGTGGTGATCAGTGCCTTTGGCTCCATTTTAAGTGACACTAAAGGTAGCCCTGACTAACGTGTTCTATAAATGCTGATTGTTGGTTTAGCTGCAGCCATTTCCTGTCCTTTGACAGTTTTGTGAAATGAGTCTTCTGGAGGTTACAAAGCTTGTGACTGCTGGTCCTCTTCACAGAAATTTCATTGTCCTTTAGGTATACCTCTTAGAACAAAACTTGAAGGTCTGAAAACAAAGTAGTTTTCTGTATATTGCTGTATAGAGCAGGAACTCAAATTAGAGGTACAGCTTGCTCAGTATATATCTTGCTTTCCTCTCAATGCAAATCGGATCTCCAAGAATACTCTTGGGGATTTCTTCTGGTCTCATTAACTTGAGAGAAACTCATTATACTACAACTTTAAACTGAACTGATCTGATCTCTGAAACCTTTTCTTTACCTATTAAATTAAGCAAGAATTAAGACAGATTCATTATTCTGGTTCAGCTGGTCTGGCTATAGCTAATTTCTTGTGCGTACACAAGAGAACTGTGGCTTCTCTTATATATACGGTATTTGGTAAACTCACCTGTGCTTGTCTCAGCTTGTCTCATTATTTAGTTGCACTTCACAAGCTTTGGTCTTAAAAATTAACAATTACATAGTTTCATAGTAAAGATACAGCAATTGGCACACATATGGCATTTCAGAGATTGAACAAATTGTCTGGATGTAGCAGAAAGAGCTGAAGAACATGAGTACAAGTAAGAACATGGGAACTGAGCAGAGCTCAGGCTGTTCTCTGACACTAGGTTAGATTTAAAGAGTTCAGGCACATACATCAAATGTGCCTCGAAAGTAAAAAACACTGACTCAGCAGAAGACAGATTGATAAAATGAATAGATCTTCAGCCTGGAGACACTCATCAAGGTTAGCAGGTTCTGAAAGCCTTAGTGATCAATGTGCCTACCTCTCTAGGGCACGGTCATGCCAGCCAATTACCCCATGACATGTTGTCATGGTCCTTTGGGTATAAATGCTCTGACAGAGAACTTGGCAAGTGCCTCAGAGTGCACATCACCAGAAAATTTGATAATCAGATGCTGGTTCTGCCAGTGCAAAGGGAATTTCAAAATTTCTTAGGATAATGTGATTTTGTAAATCTTTTCAATCAAGGAAAATCAAACATCTAAAATAATCTAAGCAGAGTCTAGTAGCATTTGTGGACATACCTCAGGCACAGATAAAATATGTGACTTCTCACATCTGTGTTTTCTGTGTGTGCAGATAACACTGTTTTAAATGAAGTTAAAGAAATGAGTTTTCTGATAGTAAGACTTTCTAGAGTTATTTGGTAAAATTATACAAAAAGTGTACTGACTTCACAGGAAGACAAAACATTAGTTAATGAAGGTAAATTATAGGTCCCGTTCAAGAATTTTAGAATATAGCCGATAGCATATTTGTCTGTGATCTGAATGAGCTACTTACTGCTTCCTGTTCACCAGTCCAATGGTGTATAAACCATTATACAGCCACGAGAAGAGTCTAAACTGTCTCCTACAATAAAAAAGAAGTATCAACCTCTTTCCTTGAGGAACATGTGAAGTTTATTCCAGGAGCATTCCTATCTCGTGTGTGTTACTATTGCTTTGGGATAGGTTCATGCAGCCTCTTACCTAGAAAGCAATGACACCCAGCTCCGTACAGTGCTAATTACTTTGGGCTGCCTCCTGCCCTGCAGTTGCCTCCTGCTCTAAAGGGCACAGGAGGTGCAGCCTATGTCTCTGAAAGAACAGACTCCCATTCCACTTGGAAATGTATTGGTGTATAAAGAGTCTGGCGTCTGTGTTGGTCATGCTTTAGGGCTCAGTCTAACCTCCCAGGAGCCAGGGAGAAGTAGTATTTTTTTAATCTTTAAGAGATTCATGAGCTACTCCATTGGTGGAGTTGACTTGAGTGACAATTTTGGAAAGCGGTGGTGGTGGTGTTTTTAAAACCCTCTATTTAGGTTTTTTTGGAAGGTTTTCTAGAACCTCATATGGTAAATCAAGTATTAGCCTATGTAATCAGTACGTTTTGTTGTGATTCATAGACCCTATGATAAAGGAGTGATTCTGTTTTCTCCTACATTAAAAACTGCTTCAGGTAAAAGGTTGAACTTACTGTGTTGCTTATCCATACTGCTGTGCCAGTCTTGTATCTCCCAGTACGCATTCACTGTCTAAATTAGTTGTTATGAGATTTTTAAATAGGAACATAAAATGGGAGGGGACCAACGTCATGCAATGAGCTGATCATGAAAGAAGAGAGTCATTTACCTTGGGGGTGAGCAATACACCTCAGTTTCACACTGTATTTTTGGTGAAACTGCTATTAGAATAGCAATCAAATTACAAGGAAAAATGCAAGGCATTTGTTTTGGATGTTGTGAAAGTGAAAAGAAACTAAGACTTTGAAGGAATGTAGTGCTTATTTTGAGCATACTGTTTCAGTTACTTTTAAATCTTTATTTTTTCAATAAACTGTGTTAATGAAAGTCAAATATGCTTCTTACCACTGAGCTGGATTACAACTGAATCTCCAGGCTACGTCAGCATATGTAACAAAAAGAAATGGGGGAAAAAAACCCCACCAAAAGCATCTTATATTCTTAGTGGGTTTTGGTTTTGTTTTTTTTTAAAAAAAGGAAGCACATTTTTGTATTCAGGAGATGGAGATAGCCAGGTATTCTCCATCAGAAGATGGAGAGATACTCAGAACTGGACACTGGCATGAGCAAACCAATCTGACTTGGAACTTGATCTAACTTTGAAGAAGGGAGTGGACTAGGTGACCTCCAGAGGGCCCTTCCAGTCTGAATTGCTTTGTGACTGGATGACTCAGATGCAGATTGCATAAATGTGTTAATTGTTGCTTATACGAAGAGCTCTATCAGTTGTCCCAATTTGTAAGGCACCTCAAGGAACTGCAAATGCAGTATTGGTATGAGCTAAGCTGGCAGGGTCTGTCCTATTTGTTGTTAATATTGTTAAATGCTGATGCTACTGATGTAAGAATAAAGCAAATACTATGAAAATCAGAGGGATTAAAATCAGACTTAGCCCCAGTTCAGCAAAGTGTTCAGGGCATAAGCATGTGAGTGACTGCTGTTCTGAGCAGAAATTGTTAGAAAGCTTTTTCTAGTCTATTATCCTCAACAAGATGTTTCTTATTCTTGCACGGTAACTATTAAATTTGCAACTGAGATTCCATGTGCTCACAGCAGGTATTTAGTCTTTTGTTTTGTAAAAGTAAAATGCTGATTGTGTTTTTAAGCAACAGTTCTAGTAGGTATTCATCCTCCCATTGGGAATCATATAAATGCATCATTAATTTTAAAAAATGGACTCCTAAGTCCATTTTATGCTCAGGAAGTTGCTAATAGACAAAACAGGAGAGTTGCCTTATAGACTATTTTAAGAACATTACCACTTCACTGAAAACACTAAAAAAAAAAACCCAACAAATTGTTTAAATCAAGCTCCTGCAGATGGAGTAAGAAAAATGTTTTGCTGCTTGTTGGAGAAAAAAAAAAAAAAAAAAGAAAAAGATTTTGCAAGCACAGGCTGCTGCTTCTTTATTGCATAGCTTACCAAAGCCTGCAAGCCATCATAACTGACCCACATAAACAAAGAGCTGTGGGAGGGTTTTGTACCTTTCCTCTTGTTCCTGTTTTTTACTTGGTTTGTTATTTTGGAGGCCTGTGACGTATTAGTGAATTACTGAAATATCTTCTGTCACCATTCCAAATTGCAACTACTCAATATATACGAATGTCATTCTGTGTACTCCTTAGCACTGCATACAGCCTCAACATCCTACTTAACACAAGTCCAGTTGGTTTTAAAGTCTAAACTTTGAATAATCATTTTCTTACCTATTTTGTTCTGACAAGCGAAAAGGAACAATATTTTTGGACTGCAAACTTTTACACTGGAACGATTGTCCTTGTTCTGATTTGTTTGCCTGAATTGCTGAGGAGAACCGTGGAGAAATTATGGAAAATAGTACACTTGCTCAAAATACACTACAAAATGCGGTGCAGGGCAGGGGACTAAGGCAGGATATTGAACTGGCGACATAACTTTAGTTCAACACTCTGTTTAGCGGGGGGTGCAGTAAAGACGAAGTATTCCCATTTACCGGAATACTGAATCTTAGCATGATAATGCCTATTTTATTTTCCTGGAGAGACAAAAAAGGGGAATGCAAAAATACCCAAACAAACACTAAATACTACCTTTGCAAAACTCCTCAGAAATAGTAGGCTATTTGTGAGCAAAAATATGTTTTATTAAACTTTTGGTAGTACCTAGCTATTGCATGGTAACTGAAGGGCAAAATTTTATTTCACGTTTCTGGGAACCACAACTTTTAGATATTTTGCGTTTACTTTTAGTACCACTGTCTTGCTTGGAAACTGCAGCAGCAAAGCCCAGGCAGCTTACTAGCGTATAACTACTGCCCCCCCAATGGGGTTTGACATACAGCGAAGATATATTTGCCCACGTAATTTACAATTTTATTATTTAACCCACTCCCATTTCATATGTATTTCTATAGATTGAGAAGCATTTACTAGGGAAAAAGGGAAAAAGCTTGCGGAGCTCTGAGCTCGCAAGTTTTCCTTTGTACACATAGGGACCTTCAAATGGTACAAAAGCCAGTGAACCTGCAGGGAGTGTTGAGTTTCTTCATCCAGCCTGGTCAGACGACTAGGTAGCTTCAGCCGCAAAGCATTGAAGCCTTGACTCTCTGATGGAAGACCAGGAGGGAGGAGGAGAGGTGGCTGCGATGCCCCAGCTGGGAATACCCACGGGGGTGACCCGGTGTCTCCCTGGTAGCACGGCATCTGCCTCGCACCCACAGAACAGACTTTTAGTCATCAGGCTTTTTAAAAAATTGTTATATAAAACTGAAATTTATATAGATTCAAAAGATTCCTAGTGAAATAGGTAGGAGTTTTCCCACTGAGTCATTTGGAATAGGATTTTTCTTCGCGAATAGGTTTACAGAATGAGTTTTGAAACGATTACCCATTTCCAATATCCAAAAATGGCTTTGTGAAGGCTTCTAAGCCCTGTTAACTTAGAGCAGGAATTCTGCTCTTTCACCCAATAGGCATCAGCACGCATATGCTTGGGGGAGACAGGCAGAAAACAAAGTCAGTACCTGCTAGCAGCAGGAGCCTCTGCTCGCATACCCGGAGCCAGCTTTGTCCTCTCAAACCAGTTGTTAATCCTGGTTCGGTACCCTCTGCTAGTGGGGCAGAGGCTGTGGGAAGCATGACTGATTGGGCTTTTCTTCATTTGCTGGGCATTTAGGCTGGGCAGTGTCAGCAGTTAATCAGTCTATTGGCGCTTGTGACAGCTGTAGTTTTACATTTGAGATTAAGAAAGTTACAGTATATTTGTATTTTTCTGAAGTAATGCTACTATTCACTGTAAAGGAAGTCTGTAAGATGGATATCAAAAAAAAACATTAATGAGCTACTAAAGCTAAAATTACAGGAACTTATGAAATTGGTTAAACATAAAAACCATTAAACTGTTTATTGAAGCTTCACAGATATACTGCAGCTAATGAGCATTTCTGCTATTTAAATAAGCCCAAATTGAACACACATTACATGGATACATAATTAGTCATGGCAGTCAAACACGCAGACTCTCTTTTAAAGCTTTATTTGAGGAATCTTTTCCATTTGATTTGTTTTGTAATTAAAATATTTTTCTGTATTCACTTATATTTTAATATTGTTTTTTGCAAGTGCTATAATTTGCTGCTACTTTTTCATTTGTGTTTGTTTGCTCTGTGGATATGGCAAATTTGGAACATATATTCAGAACTTTCCTTTTGTTTGGTGTTGTTTGTGTTAGCATCACTTGATAGCATCAGAATAATTCAATTGTATGTTGTCTTCAATCCAGAAGGATCTTTTCAAATCATATATAATATCTCGCCAGGATATGGAGGAGAAAGCAGCACATCCACAGGATTGTACTTTGAATTTTCAAGATAAAAGCTGTATTAGTTGTATACTTTAAAAGGTGTGAGGGTACAGGGATTTAAAAGACACTCTTTTCTTTACCGCTGTCCCAAATTACACACCAACAAAAACATTAGGTATCTAGTTTGCTTATTGTTCAGTGTCAAAACAGCAATTCAGAGAATCAATAGTTGGGGTCACCTCCTTTGAAGCTCAGGTTTGGCTCTTAGACAATCTCTCATCCCTTGCAGGGCCAGAGAAGGGACTTCCCTTTGTGAAGACCAAAGTTCTCCCCTTCTTCCTGCAGGTGGTCTAGGAGGTGGTCCCTTCCGCCTCACAGTTGCCCCGGGTACCAGATCCAAATTGTTAGGAGTTCTTAAGATGCTTTTAAATCACGCCCTTATTTTCACTTAACCTAAATCTTGGAGATTATAAAAAAGACAGAAGGAAATAGCTGCCAGATACCATGTCAACCTTGCCACCAGGGAAATGTTCTTTCCCAGTTTTAAAAATACTGATCAGGCAGACAAATCCCCAGGCCCTGGGGAGATGTTTCAGGTGAAGGTATGTTGGGTATTCTTTGCACTCAGAAAGCTTTTGGTATAATTATGTCCAGACAGCTATTTTAGCACAAGACAATCCAAAGATAGATTTGAGAAATGTAATAGATCCAGGATAACAGAGTTAATACCCTATTTTTCCACAAGATGAAATAAGCAGTCAGAACTTCCAGTCTTACATCATTTCTTCTGAAAAACTACATCTCCGATAGCATGTTGTCCTGTAACACCTTTACTGTGGTTCAGTCCTGTCTCAGAGAAACAAAAGTCATCTGTTAAATCCCCGATACCAAATCCTGCAGCACCAACTTTTCCTCTGGGTTTTTCCCAAGCATGTCTTTACAAGCCCATACGTATTTAGCTTGCGAGAACTGTCTAGACCACATGCTGAGATGGTACCACTGCATGCAGTAAGTTATCCTATCTATGACAAATATAAGATGATCAAAAGCTTTCTTGAAGTACAGACAGTCTGAGACATAAAGAGAAATTTAATGTATTGATTTAGAAATATTACTGAAGCATTCCTAATAAAACTGCTATCAGCCATTATCAGCACTTTTCTTAAAAAAAAAAAAAAAAAAAAAAAGAAAAAGAAATCAAAGTAACCCAAACACAAACAAACAAACTAAAAAACCCCCAAAATTCCAGACTGAAAAATGTCTCAGTCCGAAGGTTTTGTTTGGTGTGATCTTTCAGTAATTTAAATATTTTTAAAGGAAACCATTTCATAAGTTTTTGATTCTGTTGCTATGCAAATATTATTTTTGCCAAGTTAAGCCACAAGTATATGCAGGCTGGGAGGGATAGATTAAATACTTCTGGTATGAAAACCTGCTACAGTCTTTCAGCTTAAAACTGTCTGCTGTGATTCTGGCTTATGAACCAGTTGCGAAAAATACTTTGGATTTGAGTCCTCTGGATATGTTTGTGTATGCCAAGGGTGAGGAGGAGAGCAGAGGTGGGACAAGTAGGTGACTGTTTTTGCCTTGCTCCTATTTTGTTATTTTGCCCCTGATTATACACGGCCCCCACTTTGAAATACACTTCTAAAATATGATTTGGAGGGGAAGGGAGATACAGAGCCTGGGAACAAAATTCCATCCCGATGACGTGCAAATAAGATGCGTTTGAAGCTCGCTGTACACTCAGGTGCACGCCAGGGCAATACTGTGACTTTGCCCTCATAGTGGAGAAATATTCTTGTCTTAAACTGGCAGGTTTCTCTTTTACATATATGACAGCACAAGTACATCAGTTTAATTGACCTTGGCAATCAGCATCTGCTAGTGGTATGTCCCTGAGGGACGTTGCAATTTTAAGCTGCATTTTATTGCAGAATCTTCAGTTGCTGTAGACAAAGCTATATAAAACCCCCTCATTTTGATATATGCCATCAACATTTGCTAAAAATATTTATTGAAAACGTGATTCTCTTCATGAAGCTACTTTTGAAGTATCTTTGCAATCATAATAATATAATTTTAAAATGCATAATAAAATCATGTTAATATAGAGCAAAAATATTCATTCTGAGCTTTTGTGTTCATTTAATGCCATTTGTATAATGTCATGCAGTATAAAAAATGATTTATTTCTTTTCACATCTGCATTATTTTTATGGACAGTAATAGTTCATGTGCAGAATGCCTATATATACTGCTTACTAACATGAAAAGAATGAAGGTGTCCTGATGCATGCTCTAAAAAAACCATCAGAAATTGCAGTGAAAAAGATACAAAATATATTGTCTGCATGTAAGCATTTCATTTTGATTGTGTTTTTATGGTTTTATTCTTAACATAGGTAACAAGTTTCAAAGTGAGCCTTTCTTTCAGGATGTTCTGAGTTTAAATATTAACTCAGGATGGTTTTGACTTTATTGAAATATATCATTTTCTGAATTAAATTTCTTTAAAACCAACACACTTTGTCAACGCCAAAGCTTTGATAGCATAACATTTCCTGGTGGGAAAATGTTCCATCTGAAACTTTTCGGTCAGGTTTAATAATGACCTGTCAAAAAGTAGCAGAGTATCATTTCTGTTGTGAGGGTTAATAAATGTGGGAAATAAATTCTGGAGATCTAAATGAATTTTTAGAAATTTTATCAGAAACATTTTGTTTGTTGTTTTAACTGTCAAAAATTGTATGCTGCATATTAAGTTGCACAAAAGAGTATATAGTAAGTTATTCAGGAGAAAAGCACGTTGATGTGGTAAGTAACGTACAAAGCTATGGGTAGAGGGAAAGGGAGAAAATTTATTTTTCCTTTGTTAATAGTGTTCATTAATAGGATTCTCAGAAGTGCTGGACTTTTTCCCTGGGAGATGAATGATGCCAGTGAGAATGACTTTGTGAATCCCAGGTTCTGCGATATGCAGTGCGTTCTCGGGGAGTGACCAGAAGACCGTTAACACCAAGTATCGCCTGAGCCTGCGTCCAGTCAGTCGCTGCTTGTGACGCCTGTGCAGGTTTATTTTGCACGCGGGTCTGGCTTTGCAGGCACATGGGAACTGGTTACTTCTCTGATACTATCAAACTGCTCTTCCATACAACGTATGCTATTTTTCTGTCTGAATCCTGTTAGTAATTACATACTTCCACTAGCTCAACAGAAACATTTATGTATATAATAGGACTTGTCATTTCTGCTGTAAATTTACATTTAAGTGAAAGAACTTGGAAGTGCTTTTTTGATTGTTATCAGCATATATTTAACAGATTTTAGCAACAGTTTTTTCTTTCTTCTATTAACATATTTGTCGTTCACTTTAATTACAGTCAAGGAGGCCATGGCACCTATCAAGTTTAACAGATGGGGTCTTCCTGAAGTAGATCCAGAAACTATGCAAACAAGTGAGCCCTGGGTTTTTGCAGGGGGCGACATTGGTGGTCTTGCTAACACTACAGTGGAATCAGTAAACGATGGAAAACAAGCCTCCTGGTACATGCACAGATACATACAGGTGATTATTTTTTTTAAAAAAAGTATTTTTCTCTTTACCGTTTCTGTCTGCTTTTAGATACTTTAAAAAATAATTTCATTGTGATTTAGATTAAGTACGCGCGTTTTGAGAAACGTACCTAGATTGCCTGGTGATTTGAACCTTACACAGTCATTCAACTTGGAGCACGTACTTGAGTTTGGATAGTTGAACTCAGCTTTCTTACATTATCTTAACACTAAAATCCAAGCAATGTTTTCTTGGCCCAAGCTCTGAATTCTGCTCAAGAGTAGCAAGCCTCCCTGCACAATACACAGTGCAAGTAGAAGTTCTGATTGGGTAATTAGGAAAAAAAAGTGAACCCATTGATTTTAAAAAGTAAAATCTCTCAGTAGTGCATAAAGTAAAAATTAAATACTGCCAACGTTTTTACCTATGGAAGACATTTGTAGCGTACTAACAGTTTACAGAGCACTCAGATTATCTACACTGGAATCAAAGTTTGGTCTGATGAGGCTGATAAACTGGCCACAAGAGCCCAACAAAAAACAAACATTGAATGCACAAAGGAAAATAATGCAAAGGAGAATTTACCCAAGAAATGCAAGTTTAAGGGCTACAGACTTGAAAAAACTGGTAACTGCATATTCCCTTCGGGTGCTCCTTGCATGTTGCTGACTGAACATCTCTGCCCTAATTTTTCTAGTAAAAGAAAGAGCACAAAGTCTAGAGGACTTGCAGAGGAACCTTCAGAGACAGGAGAGACAGCCTGTGTGTGGAGAAACAGCTGACAAAGAGTGTGTTTATAGTGCAAGGAACTTTTTAGAAACATGATACATGATTCATTCTCCCACAAAAAGAGATTTGAACAACTGAAGTTGGGACTGTAACAGCTCGATGTCTTTCTCCCCCATCCATCTGCTCAAAGCCTCTCTGATTGCATGTTTGTGCAATTGCATGCTGTTGGGGTCTGATTTCACTTCCTAAAAATACTTCAACTGAAAGCTTGTTGTTAGTATCTGTGCATATTTTTTCTCACTTGTTCTAAAGCACTGTTTGTGTCCTGCCTTCTTAGACCCTATGAAAATGCTGAGTGTGAAACATCTTTAATCCCTGACCTGCTTGCTTGATTTCTCAGTGCGCAGTGAATTTGAGTAACTCTGATGGGGGGGAGAGAGGTATCTCCTCCTCTTTGTCTCCTTCCTCTTTAACCTCTAGAAATACACACATCATTTCAAACCCCTCCTTTATCATGTTGCTTCCTCCTCAAAGCTTGCTTCCCCCCCCCC